TAATCATATTTATTTCGAGTGACTGGTGTAGGAGCCCCAAAGGATTAGATAACTCGCATGGGAACACCTAATCATATTTATTCTGGGTGATTCATATGGGAGTATTGGAGGATTAGAATTACTCATACAAGAGTCTCGAAAGATTAGAGTGACTCGCATATGAGCACCAAAGGATTAGATGACTCGCATGGGAACACCTAATCATATTTATTCTAGGTGATTCATATGGGAGTATTGGAGGATTAGAATTACTCGTACAAGAGCCTCAAAGGATTAGAGTGACTCGCATATGAGCACCTAATCATATTACCCACGCTAAGCCAAACCAAATAAAAACCAAAAGTAAAAAGGATTGATGTACGTGAACATCAACTTTGTAGGGCAAACCAGAGTAAGCTCTCATAGATACCGGGGCAACTGATCTATTCATATAAAAAAGGATCACCAACAATATTGGGCTCAAAATTGAGCAGTCAAATGGGGCAATCAAGATCATCAATACTGAAGAGGTTTCAATCACTGAAATGGCACGAAGGTTAGAACTGCAGATTGAGGAATGTAAGAATAAGGTAGATTTCATGGTAATCCCTATGGAAGACTTTGATTTTTTTCATTGGTTTCGTTGACCAAATCAAAACTTATATCCTTCTATATGCCAATGCCATGTGCATAATGGATTCTCAATGGCCAGGTATTGTGCTGTTCATATGAAAAAATCAAGGATGAGCCAAGGCCTTGACAGATTTTTACTATGTCAAGGACGTTCCAAAGAGGGTGAACACCACCTTAGGAACTACTATTGAAGCCAGAATCATTAATCAAGCAACGAGACCCAAGATTTCAAGCGACGCAACTACAAGAGTTACATCCAATAGTACGGTAACCAAGAAACCAAATTTCAAGAAGGAAATACTAGTGCCAAAAACATCTAACTCAATAGAGAATGAAGAGACGATGTGCACCAAAGCAAACAAAGCAACGAGAGAGTCACTAAAAAAAATGGGGGAAAATGTCACGTACTGCGACCATAGGAGGCGAGATCGACTCGCATCATGTTGCTCACGAGGCCACGACCAAAATAGAATAGACAACTCGTGAGGATGATGTCGAGACATGAGCGCACACAGTTGTGGACGAGATCGAGACCTACATGCCCCAAGCTACCCATGAGTATAGGGCCTAGCGTATTGCTCACCGAGGTACACATACCAGCTCCGAAAGGGCCCCTGATAAGGCAGACCTTTACTTGTAAAATAAGCAAACACACCATCTTCCTTGTTCATGTAAGACTTCAGCTTTAGAATCTCAATTAGAGTATAATTGTACTTGTAGTTAGACTAGGTTTAGCTAATGAATGTAAAGGGTAACTTTATTATAAAAAGGGGTCTCCCCACCCTCCACTGTACATCCTAGTTTTATTATGGATAAACTCATGCATTCATGCCAAAACTTCCCATGTGTGTTTCTCTTATTCGTGTTTCTCATTTTGCTTGTTGCTACGACAAACCTAGGCCATCGGGCTTAGGGGTTTTAAGCTACCTTAGTGTCAAACAACCAACCGAGGCATCTAAGGGTCACACAGACAAGCTAGCCGAGAGTCTAGCCCTGTAAAACCATGATTAATGGGTCTATCGAGACCTTGTCATATGATACTTTAAGCCCGAATATATTTAGGGTGTTACAAAAATTATGCCAATTGAAACTTTTTAATTACATAAACGCAATTCACTTTAATGGAAAAACATAAACAATATGCCAAATTTTTAAGTTTTATATTTTAATTAAATATGTGAATATTAATATTTATAATATTTTATTTTTTTTAATTTTTATATAATAAATATAAGGCTTAAACGTTAAAAAAGGAGCCCAATGTATGCCTTTTTATTTTAGTTTGATGTCTAGCATTTTTTTCGTTTTAATTTGATGCCTAACATTTCATTTCGTAACTCATTTTGGGTCTGGCTGTGACGGGCCATTAATTTCGGCCGTTAAATGCCACATGCATTTATTTAATATTAAAAAATTAATTTTATAATTAAAATATTAATTAATTAATTAATTCCCCCTCTTCCTCTTCCTCTTCACTCTCTTCCTCGTCACTCTGCAACATTCCTCCATGGCTCAACTTCCCCAACTTTTATTTATCCTTTTCATACTCCAATGCTCTCCGATTGAACCCCGAAACCTCCATAAACAATGAATCATTTTATAGTAGTAACCCCGAAACCTTTTCATACACATAAAGCTTTGCTGGTCTTGTTGCGGGCTGTCAGTTCGACCATGATCGTTTTGTCGACGACACAACCACGATTACTGAAAATGAAGTGCGGACATAACCGGTCGGTTCGACCTCCCACACACGAGCCCCCGACGATGAGAACAAATTAAATGGCTGACGGTAGCATAACAAGAATAACAACAGCCCATATGTGTGAAACCAGTGCTATCGAACGATAGTAACAACACCCCAACAAGATAGAACACACCGGTTTAACTCTTCCGCACGAAGCCGACGTCGAATGGCCACGAGCTCGGAGTGTGGCGATGGTGTAACTCAAGATTTTATTACCAAGTAAAAGTGAACGATGATCAAACGTCCAAGCGAAGAGAAGTTTGCAACATGGGAATGACGGGGCGATGGATGGCTTCACCGGTAATGAACCACGACGTGAACGACATTGACCCTTTTGAAAGATGTGAACGATGCACGATGGGAGAAGGAAAACAAAGAAAGAATAATGGTTTCACCAGTGATAAAGAATAATGGTTTCACCATGATGACCCATAGTTTCTCCAGTGATGAACCATAGTTTCTCCATTGATGAACTTTAGTGCCTCTTTAGTGGAGTTTAAGCTCTTTTTCCATGCTAATTAAGCTTGGCCTTGGTCATTAGTGGAGTTAAAAGCTTCACCCGTGATGAATCATTATTACTTCAAGGCTCCTCGTGGACATCCAGTTGTCGACCAGATTTTAACCCCGATGAATGTTGTACCGATTGCATGGGAAGAAAGTGAAGGGAATAGAGGGAAGAAGAGAAACAGAGGGAAGATGAGAGGGAAAATAATTTCTTTTTGGTTTGGGGAAGATGAGAAGATGAGAGGGAAGAGAAGAATGAGAGGGAAAATCATTTTTTTATATTATACCCATATCAGGTGGCATTTAACGACCGAAATTAACATCCTGTCACGACCTGATCCAAATTGAGTTACGGAATAAAGCGTTAGACACCAAACTAAAAAAAAAAGATATACATTGGGCACCTTTTTGACGTTTAAGCCTAAATATAAATACACCATATTCAAGTCTCTCAAGTTTTTTCTATGGGTCTGTTTGGTTCTTGAAAATATAGACTATTTTCATTTTCATTTTCTTAGAAAATAAAAAATATTTAAGAAAACGTGTTCGGTTGTAAAATTAGAAAATGATTTCTGGAAAATGAAAACAAAAGTAAGTGAAAAAATGAAAACATAAAAATATGTTTTCAGTATTTTCGTTAAAATTGTTTTGAAAATTTTAGAAATAGAAAAACACGAGATGTAGATTTTTAACTAAAATTGTATCGATTCAAATCGTTTTAATAACAATTTTTTAACTTAATGGAAGCTGAAACCCTCAAACTTTATAAAAAAACAATATGCTCCCTAAACTTTTTTTACACTCAATTTGGTCCTTAAAATCATTTTTAATAATTTAATTTTTTAGCATTTTCATATTTAATTTATTAAATATCTTAATAATTGTTTATATTTTATATTTTAAATTTAAATAATATTTTAATTTTCTAAAAATTAATTAAGTTTTTAAACTTTCTAAAAGAATCAATTAGGCCCTCAAATTTAGCCAAAAATCAATTTAAGTCCATCTACCCCATCATCTTTCATCATGTACTACCACAACTATATCTTGAACTATCACATCAATATTGTAGATTGTCATGTAAGTTTTATGAACTGTCATGTAAGCCTTGTGATGGTCAACATTTGATTATGTTAGTCAAAGAGTTAGATTCATTTGTTTCTCAGTTTAAGGGTAACATTGAGTGAAGAAAAAGTTCAAGGGCTACACTAATTTTTTCCCCAAAAGTTTAAGGGCCTTTAAATACCACTAAACATATTTTCTATTTTAATGACACTTTTATGTGCTATTGTTGACAACAATATTTCTTTTATGTATTTATTAAATTTAATTGATGTCCAATATGCTTTAACATTATATTCTTATTATAAATTAAAATAATTTTTGTGTTATAAAATTTCTTATCAACTTTATTCTTTTATATTTGCACAATTCACATATTAAATTTGTGTAATGATTTTTTTAATAATTATATTTTAATATATTTATTTAATAATTATTTGTTCATCATTTTTTTTAAAAATAGATACTAAATATATTTTAACTATTATTATTTATGAATTCAAATTTTCATTTATATTAACCAAACATGTTTTTTTTTAATTTTTAAAAACTGAAAACTATTTTCTGAAAATAAAAAACATAAAACAAAAACAGAAAATATTTTCCAGAACTAAACAGGTCCTAAAATTTTCAATAACTTATCGAATATACTTTTAAATTAAATATATAAAAACTATATAATATAAAAATCAAAATTGCTTTAAAACAGAAGGATTGAAGGAATGTAATTCCTGTCAATGGGACCATATGTGTTTGGGCACGCAAATGTACAACCTAGGAATGATTTTCAAATATGAAATATTTTTCCTTCAGTTGTTATTTAATGATATTGGTAATGATTTTGACTCTTCGACGGACCTATCTTTCGGCTTAAGAGTTTTATTGAAGTATATTACCCTTCAATGGCCAGCTTTTCATTATCCCTTCATAATTCACATTTAAATATTATTCTCATCTAATTGTAATAAACTTTCAATAATAAATCTATTCAAAAGTTAGATTATCGTCTAAATTGATAAAAATTCGAGTCAAATGATAAATAATATTTTTATAATTTTGAGTCGAATCAAAGTGAGGTTTATACTGAAATTCAGCTATGTAGTTTGGATACAATCAAGTCCCTAACCTAATCAATCTGAGATGTAGTTCATAATATGATGAGTAGACTGTCATACACTAATGGTGCGATAAGCAGTGGGAATTTTTTGGTTTGTTGATCTCGATCTATGAAGCTTCTTCATCTCTTTAATGGCTGGATCTTGTAGTAAAACCACTTTGTCTTTGTTCCCAACACCAACCATGTGTAAATAGTCATCATCTTCCCTTTCTTTCCCTTTGAACAATACCCTTTGCTCTCTTGGCTCCAAACCCGTCACCAATGACAATATCATCTTCAACTCCCCTGCCAAAAAAAAAAAACTCTAATTCCATTAACCAATGTTTATTCAGATATCGAGATTCGAATTTTGAAAAAGAAAATTAAAGGCTTACCGAACGTAGAAGTTGCTTCGATTGAGATATCATGCCATTGAGAAACGGTGGATGCTCTAACGACGATCATACCTTCCCCAACGCTCGAACCGGTCTCCCGCTTTTGGACGAGCATCCCACCAGGTCTAAGTTCCCATTTGATTTCAGTAATAGTAGTAGTATTATTATGTCCGACACCCTTTTCACCAGCTTTTACGTTGCCACCTCCATTTCCAAACTTAAACCCTTTTCACCAGCTTTTACGTTGCCACCTCCATTTCCAAACTTAAAGCTGCCTCTGCAAAACTTCTTAGACTTCAACTTCATCATGTCTATCTCTTTGTTGATCAAAAGGTTTGAGCAGGTATAGATGGGACGAGAAAGTAGTAGCCTAGGGGGTTATATAATAGAAGACAGTAGCACATGGGTGGTGGGTGCCTATGCAGCACGCTTGGTGTATTGGCGGTCCCAACCCCTAACGCACATAATCGAAAAGCATGGGCCGTCTGAAAAATATATTTTGCTGATTCAATTCATGCTCTTTAGGAATATTATTTTGGTTGGATTTTTGGAATAATACAACATATCCCTCCTTATGTTTAGATCTAAGTAATGTTTGTTAGTTATTGATTATATATATATATATTTTATACACTCAATTTTGAGCTTTTTTTTATATATATAATAATATCATATAGTTTTAGAAATATTTTTTTTTGTTTTTTAAAATATTTAGTTTTAAGAAAAATGGTTTTTGAAATACACATATAATAAATAGTTTTTTAAAATATATATAATAAATAGTTTTGAAAACATTTTGAAAATATATAGTTTTTGAAAACATTTTGAAAATATATATAAGATATAGTTTTTGAAAACATTTTGAAAATATATATATAATATATAGTTTTTGAAAACTTATATAATATATAGTTTTGAAAACATTTTTGAAAACATATATAATATATAGTTTTGAAAACATATATAATATATAGTTTTGAAAACATTTTTAAAATTATATATATAATATATAGTTTTAAAATATTTTTGAAAATATATATATTATATAGTTTTAAAAATAATATTTTTGAAAATATATATAATATATTATTATTATTTTATTATTTAATGTTTTATATTATATTATATTTAGTTTATTTTATTTTATTCGGTCCAGGTCCAGCAAGGGTGTGGGCTGCCCAACCGGGTAGGCAGGCCTGACCCAACAAGCCCACTCGAATTAGGGTTTCTACACTTAACAAAGGGCGTCGCACGTGAGTAGCAGCCATTGGATCTGGTCAAAACAATCCAACAATAGATCGAAAAATCCAAAAGAAACCTACCGGCTGAACAACGGCCAACCGATAAAATCGTCATGCAATTGAGCCTCGGCTAAATCGGGATTGCACTATCACGTTTAGCCGGTCAACAACAACAAACCCGAGCAAATCGGGGACGAGGGGAACCACCCCTCCAAAGCTGGAAACAGTCCTATTGGGGGCTATATAAATACCACACCAGACATAAGACAACACACGACAAAAAACAACAAGATCGAAACACATCAGAAAACATCGAAGTAACACAAACAGAAAATACCAGAAATACCAAGCATCAAACAACCAAGCAAATCACAAGAAAAACATTAAAAGCAAGCGGAAAACCATCGGTCGTCGTTGAGTAAGGCCGAGGGACTAAAGTGCAAATATGAGATTTTTAAATTATTTTTGCAATCCCTGTAAGTTTGAAGTGTAATTTATTTTGGTCACCTGTTGCAATTTTGTCTCTGAATTTTCAATTTATTCAATTTAATCCTTGTTTTCATTTCTTATATTTTGCAAATTTGTCCCCTAACTTTTTATTTTTCTCTTGTAGCTCATTTTTAGCATCAATTTGATCCATGAATTTCAATTTATTCGAATTTAGTCCTTTAAGTTTTTATTTCGTTCTTTTTCTACTTTTTTTGTTATTTAATTTAACATTCCTTTTTTTTCTCCATTTTAAAAATTAACATTTTTACTCTTTTTATCATTTATTTATTTGTTTGTTTGTTTTCTTTAAAATTTCATTTTTTATTTTATTTTTTAAATTATTCTTTCTGTTAATATGATTTTATTTATCTATTTATTTTTAACCCTTTTTTAAAACCTTTTTTTCCTCTTTTATTTAATATTTATTTATTTTAATTTTTCAATTTAACATTTTTTTGGCTTTTTCAGTAGTAATTTCAATCGATCAAAGGTAAAAAATTCGAATTGAATTTTTAAATTTTAATTTTTGCAATTACGACAACCGACAAATTAAATGGTACCGAAAGGGCAGTTCAAGGGTGCTAATCCTTCATTGATTGTAATTGACTCCCGAATCTGACATATTTCTGGTAAAACGCAGATCAGGTAAGATGGTGTCTGATCAACCTAAATATTTTTTAAATGATCGGTGGCGACTCTAACGTATTTTATTTAAGTCGAAGCCTAATTCAGGGCACACCTGAAAGACTGTTGTGACATATATATATATATTAGTTTAGGGACATAATTGTTTAAATACAAGATTTTTAAGAAGATAAATTCTCTTTTATCATTAAGATTATTTAAATGGTAAGTAACTTGATATTGCTTAAGTAGGTATCGAGTTGTAGTTCTTGTATATGCAAAAAAAAAATCCCGTTGGGAGATTTACACATCAAAACTAGATGTGAAGACACGATTTAATCCAGATTAATTAGGGCGAAGCTTTGGAATCGAAAGGACATATATATATATATATATATATATCAAGAGAGTAAAATTAAGATATAAGAATCACATAAAATTACATAATGCAATAATTTTTTTTTGAGGTCCTCCCCATTTTTTATATCAAGTTATTAAATCATTGGTTATGGGAAATAAAATAATTAAGTAATTATTTGAAGATCTGTTTCTAATTAACTATCTTTTCTTATGTCAATAATTTTTAGAGTATATAGTTAAAAAATTTCAGTTGGCATTCTTTATCCTTCTTAAGTTGTGGGTTGTTAAATACTTATTAGGAGCGAAGATTTTCATCCTTCTCTTAGTGTAATTTAAAAAAAAAAAACTTTTTTATTTAATTAGTTTGAGAAATCACATACAAACAAACGGTTCACCTATTTATTGCATATATATATATATATATATATATAAACTCTTTGTATTATTTGTACATAGAGAATTTAGTTTTCATATTTTTAGTTCTATTAATTTAATTTCTCTATTTTTCATATTTTAAAGTTTAAATTTAATTGTTACTATCATTAAATGTAGATCCATTTACATTTTAAACCAAAAAATTATTAATTATAAGATCGTATAATAACATGTAACTAACTTGACTTTGAAATAAAATTATTTGTTTTAGCAAATAGACTAATTTTAAAATTCTAAATTTAAATGTATAAAAATAAATGAATCTGGAAGCATATTTTAACCATACAAAATCAATTTTCTAAATGGAAATGGTACAAAATGAAAATTATAATAGAATATTTTATAAGATTATATATACATATTAAATTATTACATCCACTCTTCTTATTTTTCAACTCTATTAATAATAAATTATCTAATGAAGTCGTCGTCTATTATGCAAAACTTTATAAACTTGGGCTTGAATTTGAATTTAACTTTGACTTCACTAATGTGTAATATTTTTTCATGATTTTTTTATTAAGTTAGGATGTTATAAGTGGTAATATCCGCTTTAAAGACTATTAATCATTTGATAATGAATAATTAAATATTCTACATTGTTGATACTTTATCTCGGAACCTCTAAAGGTAACAATAATTCTTTTAATCACTGTGATCATTTGATTCACGCATATTATTTACCAAATTAATAAAATAATAATAAATATATTTTATAATTAAATATAAATATTTTTATATGAAAAATCAATCCCAAAGTGAAAAAAATAATATTTAAACCCAACCCGTAAATTATACTACCAAAACCATGAATAAAATATTAATAAAAGTCGCAAACTTTATATTAATCTAAAATTGGTTGGTCAGTTTCATATTTTTAGTTCTATTAATTTAATTTCTCTATTTTTCATATTTAAAGTTAAATTTAATTGTTACTATCATTAAATGTAGATCCATTTACATTTAAACCAAAAAATTTTAATTATAGAGATCGTATATAACATGTAACTAACTTGACTTTGAAATAAAATATTTGTTTTAGCAAATAGACTAATTTTAAATTCTAAATTTAAATGTATAAAATAAATGATCTGAAGCATATTTTAACCATACAAAATCAATTTTCTAATGGAATGGTACAAAATGAAAATTATAATAGAATATTTTATAAGATTATATATACATATTAAATTATTACATCCACTCTTCTTATTTTTCAACTCTATTAATAATAAATTATCTAATGAAGTCGTCGTCTATTATGCAAAACTTTATAAACTTGGGCTTGAATTTGAATTTAACTTTGACTTCACTAATGTGTAATATTTTTTCATGATTTTTTTATTAAGTTAGGATGTATAAGTGGTAATATCCGCTTTAAAGACTATTAATCATTTGATAATGAATAATTAAATATTCTACATTGTTGATACTTTATCTCGGAACCTCTAAAGGTAACAATAATTCTTTTAATCATTGTGATCACTTGATTCACGCATATTATTTACCAAATTAATAAAATAATAATAAATATATTTTATAATTAAATATAAATATTTTTATATGAAAAATCAATCCCAAAGTGAAAAAAATAATATTTAAACCCAACCCGTAAATTATACTACCAAAACCATGAATAAAATATTAAAAAATCGCAAACTTTATATTAATCTAAAAATTGGTTGGTCGGTCAACAACTAAGGAAGTGATGAGTATAAGATTTTTTTGATACCTTGCTTTCTTTGCTTTTACTCCTTTCTATTAGTCGCAATCATTTATTTGGGAACTTTTCATCATTGGGAGATTATACAATAATTTAGATAGGGTTAATTTTAGTTAGGTGGGTCTTGTTTTTTGAGATGTCTTGAGGGTTTACCTTGTATTTATGGTGGTGCCATTCAAACTCTCAACCCATGTGGGAGGAGATTGAGATTCCCTTCTTATCCCTCAACTATTCAATGGATGCTTTTTTTTTACATATAAGCAATGATTGATCAAGGCATGTACAAAACATTAGGGGTTCGAGCACCATAGATGTTAGGGGTGTGAGCGTTAATGTCTAAAGGTTAAGAGTTATCTTTAAACAAATATTGTCGTGTCCTTAGCCAGATTAACAAAAAAAAATTGTCCAACTATGATTGAGTTTCAATTCTTATAATATACCCCAT